TCAACGTTTTGAACAAAATCTATCTGCGAGCTTCCAAAGCACGTAAAACGAGAAAAATTAAATAGCTCGAACATATTGGAAAACCTGCTCATAGAGAAGATTATCCGAACTGTTGATTACGAAAATCACATCTGCTTAGCAAGATAGCTCCTTATCCTAGGGTTATGACGAACAGAATTTGGGACGACAAGATTTTTCCACAATTTACCAGCCCTTCTATCTCCTTTGGAAAGGGGCCAACGGCTACTTTTTGGCGACCCATAATCTACGGAAAAAGTACTACCGAATGGTTCTTGCAATAGTCTACTAGGGGTAATGCGCGCTGCTTTACATACATTTGCGAAGAGAGTTCCGCAGGAAAATTTAAGAATACTGAAATCGGGATATCAAGGACGTGCTGTAAATTGAAAGATTCGCCTCGATGAGCTGAGCACAGTGCCCTTCTATGATTTGGAATGTATTCATTCCGAATGAAGTTGTGGCGAGTAGAATTTGGAATGCGTGATTTCTCCAGAATTCACCAGCGCTTCTATCTTTTTTGGAAAGAAGTCTGCGGCTACTACCTAGTGCACGATAAACTACAAGAGCAGTGCTATCAAGCAGTGCTTACTGAATCCTTTTACATTGGATAGGCGCTGCGTTGCATCCTTGCGAAAGATTTTCGCAGAAGAATTTGAGAAAACTGGGAACGGAATATCGAGGACATGCTGAATATGAAGATTCGTCTTGACGAGCTGAACACATTGCTGCTTCCGGATTCAGATTAAATTCATTCCGAAGGAAGTTACGGTGCTGCGTAGTTTGCGTGATTTCCGTTACTTCGCGGAGTTCCTGGAATGTCGCGGAATTCCGGCAACTCCGCGACGTTTACGGAAATTGCACACTGTGAGCGGTATCGTACCTTGAGCTGATTTTTGGACAGCTTCGATCTGAGTGACTTTCTACAGTATCCCTACGGTGCCATCAGCAGCAAATCAATGTCATTATTGATCAGCACACTCAACAATCCAATCAAACAAAAACCTGCAAAATTGAGCGAAAACCTACTGTCGACCGTATATCTACCGTAGATTATGGCACTTCTATATACTATATGATCCGTCTAGCAGGGCTGAATTAAACGGTGTTCTCTTCAGAATTCGTCTATTCTCAAGCGAGATATGGCGATGCGACGCGTATTTCGGTGCACTCCAGTGGAGTGCGGCGCACTCCGCTGCTCTCCAGCGCACTGCAGCGCACTGTGGCACACTCCGCTGAGTGCGGCGACTTTTTTGACGAATGAGCTGTATTGTACATGATATGGGTAAACAGCGACTAGTGCTTCGTAATGAGTACAAAAGGAGTTAGCTAATTCACTTTTGAAGTCTAGCTAATCAGTTTGAGAATGGTCACTTTATTTAGATGGCCCAGTACTGAAAAAAAGCATTTGCTAAATCTTGGCTATGGGGATTATTTGACATGATAGTTACGAATTTGTTGCTAATTGTGTTGGTAGAGCCTTTATGTCACGCCTGTGAAAGGCAAACGATGAGCTGGTGGAAGGGGGGGGGGGTCGTATCCGGCAGTTGTATGCCACACATCCTGCTCGACTCTGGCCCGACACATAGTGCGTTTTGACGACAATTGGGTGAGGGTCTTAAGAAACAGGATGACATCAAACGCGTACGAGGAAGACCGTAGACGCGATGTTCAGAAAATGTATACGGAGATCTCTAATGACGTCCTTCAGAGCGTTTCAAGGGTTCCTTATGCAATACGCAAATGCTGGCCAACAGTCGCTTACGACGACGAATCGCTCGCACCCGTCGTGCAACATGCAACACGGTGGGCAACGGGGATGCAGATGATATAGGATCACTCGCATCAACTCAAAAGCCTCCTACCCAAAAAGACACACGCAAAAATGAACATGTCACGCACTAACCGGGTTCGTTAGTGCGAGGGCGGATGTCCAGGTGGGGATAGAGAGAGTAATAGAGAAATTTATTAGAGGACTAGAAATAGCAGACAATAACAATGACTAAAACAATGGCCGGGCGGTCTTATTTATAGCCGCCACGGTACAAAGTACATGGTCAAGATCAAATTCAATAATCATCGCCTATAGGTGCCACGGCGTCCATCCTTGACATGCCCCTCCGTCGGTAAGAGTCGTCCCGACTCTTGACTTGTGCATAGTGAGGATTGACAACTCTCGCGTCTTGACCCTTGGAGACCAGGAAACTGACGACAGGTCTTCTCCCACCTCCATAAAAGGAGTGCTGTTGCACCATTGATGGCCGATTTCCACCTTGGCTACCCGCATCGTGGCAATCATCTACCAAATCAAGAGGTTGTCCTTGCATCCACCTACGACTATACCTGAAAATAGAATTAAGGGGTCTAATGTGATATTTGTGGCTCTTAGTACGTGATTCAGCACCAGATTCGGTTGTCTTCACGTCATTTCCTAAGCTAGAGCGTTGTGAATTTCGATTTAATCGATTCCTGGCGGCTTTTGACAACCTGCCTCTCTTGGCTCTCTTGAGCTGTCGCTCTAGGGACCGCACAGGATTGCAGATCCTCGTGTTCTCCCCCGCCACGGTGAGCTTGGCCCCTGCCAAGTTAACGTCGTGCTGAGAGCGACTGCTCCTGCTTTTTGTACTCGAGGCTACTTTACAGTTCGCGACCTCTTCCCGTACTCCTTTACGATTAGGAGACATCTCGATTAGCGATGCAGTCTCGAGCTGTTGTTTCCGCTTTTTCCGTTTTCTTGGAACACCGACTTGGACGAATTTTTCGACAACTGTCCTTCTTGTGCCATTATGAGTGTTTCTCAAATCAGCGATAGATGGCCCAAGTTGCGGTAGCGCATTTGTTCCGAGCACAACTCTGCCATCTCCTCCCTCTGTAACGAAGAAGGCTACTCTGTGCTTGGTGCCACTCTCGACTTACAAGGTGAGCTTCACCGCTCCCTTGAACTTTATCCGTTTCCCGGAGGCATCGTATGCGGAAGGTAACTGCTGAATCGGGATTTCTTCAACGTCCGCGTTCAGATCAAATCCCTTTCTCATGCTCGTCATTAGCAATCTCAGGGGGATGATGCTGATTTGAGAGCCTGTATCTACCACAGCTCTTCGAAACAATCCTAGCAAACGTACATTTAGCACCATTTGCTTCCCAAACAGCTGATTCTTCCTTGATCGCGTCCTTGCCGAGCTGCAAATCCATCGATCCAAAGATGCCGTAAAGTTACTTGGGCACTGCTCAAGTTTCTTTGCTGACTCTGAGGTTTTCCTTTTGCCACACTCGCGACTATAATGTCCTGGTTTGTTGCAGTTGTAACAGCGTGGCCACCTTTTGCAAGATGCTGCCAAAGTATCTTGCATAACACAATTTTTTTCCACAACTGGAGTCTGGCTCTCGCTAACGGATGTATCGGCATATGCATTTAGCACGACTTGTTCCGTGCTTTGTTGCACCGCCACAGCCAACTCCCTGCTACGTTCGCAGCGCAGCGCCATAGCTTTCACCAGCTCATACGCGCGTTCCCTCGGCGCTGTCTCTACGGTGGTGAACATCTGGAAGTATTCAGGCCAGTCCCTCAACTGCAAAACCAATTCTGCAGCCCTTATCCATGAGAGCTGCTTGTCTGTGGTGTCTGGGTACGCTAACCGCGTAAGCCTCTCTAACTCAAGACAGAAGGCTGTAATGTCCTTTGTCATCCGCAGATGTTTGAGTTGTACATACGCAGTCATTTGATCAGCAGACTCATTTATGCTCCATGTATTTCGCAGTGCTTCTACAATTTCTTCGAACGTACTCTCCCGTATCCTTGCTGATACTGTTTCGGCCACTGCCTTAGGATATCCGTCCAATTTAGACAGAAAAAGATGTACTAGCATGTCGTTATGCAGTCCAAGTCTACCATACTTCATTATGAATCTGCAGACAAAATCATCGAAGTTCCTTCCTTGGGGATCTCCATAGAGCTCAACCTCTGGAAGGGCCATTGCTGCCAACACCTCCGCAATATCTGCCTGTGCGACCTCACCCTCGATCGACGGGATTGTGTGCGGAACCCTTTTCTGACACTCCGGCATTTTCTGCATGGTGTCCATCGGCTTCTTCGATGAAAACAATTCAAGCTCAATATCTGTACGAGATAGAGCTTTATTTAAATCCAATGTTCTGTGCATCACCTGCAGCACAAATTCAATTTCGATGATGTATCAGCTCACGGTACACACGCGTATACCCCGCCTCCCTCTAGGCTGGGTCTTGCAGTGTAGCTGATACAAGCCACAAAGTATACCCCTTGACCAAGAGGGACCTGTCAGTATACGGTACACGCGCCGCTGCTCCCTTGTAGAGGTAGACCGCGGTGTAACTGACACCCTCCTCCGGTCCTCTGAGAAAGCTCGATGTGCCACACAACGAGCTCCTCTTTGAATCGGGGATATACACTGCCTCTGATATAGGCAGGATACTCGCCTTTTCCGCTTACGCGGTCTTATCGGCGGGGTTGGGTTGGTTCGGTTCGGCCCCCATGTCACGCACTAACCGGGTTCGTTAGTGCGAGGGCGGATGTCCAGGTGGGGAACGAGAGAGTAATAGAAAAATTTATTAGAGGACTAGAAATAACAGACAATAACAATGACTAAAACAATGGCCGGGCGGTCTTATTTATAGCCGCCACGGTACAAAGTACATGGTCAAGATCAAATTCAATAATCATCGCCTATAGGTGCCACGGCGTCCATCCTTTACAAACATTTTTTATATAGTAAGCATTTCTAGGTCCGTTTTTTTTGAAAAGGTTTTTTTACAAAGTTCTAATTTTTGATTATGTGGCTATCCGCAAGCCCTACTCGTGCGGTAGATAAGGTATTTTGTGCATGGAATCACTTCCATTCTTGAGCTGCTAGAACCGCCTCAACAGATACAGAGCTCTATACAAACATTTTTGACATGCCTTAGCTTTAAAACCTCTTACTTTTCCAAGTGCGAGTATTTTGCAGGAACAACTGCGAATTATGCGACGGAGTTTCGTGGATGAAAAAGGAAAGGGATTGAAGTCGAGAGAGTATACAGTGACAACGGAAGGCGTCCGGCGTTTTTCGGGTACAGGCTCAGTCAAAGTTTGATTTTGAACTGGACCGTCAAGTCGATAATTAATGCTTGGATATTGTACATATGGTCATAACAGGTCATAACAGAAGCAACAACTGGAGCTGGAACATCTGCTTAACCGTGTACAGCTTGAACTTGTATCGCACGTCCCGATTCGTGTAGACATCTACTCCCTGCGTGTTTTTGTTGTTTCGATAGATTTTGCATCAGTCACTTTGCACTCTGCGGGGTCAAACAGAAATACAGTAGTAATGGCAATGGATGTACTCTATATTGATTTATACAAAGCGTTTGACAAGGCCTGTCACTCTAGCATCTCATAAATCAAAGCGGTTGGTGTTTATGGTCCCCTACTGGTTTACTTACTGTCTGCACAATCGCTGTATAATAATCAAAGTTTGCGAAACAATTTTTATGCATGTTCTTGTGTAAGCAGTGATTCCCAGGGAGAAACTATGTTGCCTCTGCAGTTCCTTATATAAACGCTTGATCTGTCATCTTCCGGACGTTTTATGAAATATATACGTAATTATGCGCAAATGATATAGAAATATACGGTTATACAGTTGTGATAATTTGAACAGAAGTACAGACTGTGCTGCTTAGCTCAACATTTGGGAGTCATTATTCTTTCGAAGCTTGTAATTAGATTTTCTGAGCAGGTTGATGCTCTGAATGAGCTTATGCTTTTTTTGTACTTCTCCGTAGTTGAAAACTAATTCACTGTTTGAAGCGCCTTTGCAAGTCTTTTGTTCTTTCACACTTGGAGTATTTATGTTTGAAGAAATTGAGGCTTAACATCACTCATACATATGACGACATTTCTCAAATGAGAAAAGCGTGCGCATTTTGAGACTAGTTCTCAAATTTCCAATGTGTTCTCCACTGCTGGAATCATGACAAAATCCGAAAAAAACTCTTAGTCATTGCAAGTCTCAAAAAGTGCTTAGTAATGCACTGTCAAACTTTCGCCCTATTAGCATCATGCCAGCCACTGTTAAAGTCTTTGAAAAGATTATCTGCAAGATTCAAGCAACACGGCTTTTTTCCTGGATGTTCCACTACAACCTTACTTTCTATTGTCGCATTTGACTGGATCACTACACTCAGGAACTAACAATCAGTTGACATCGCATATCGTTCTTTAAGCCTTTGAAAAGATACAATACCGTTCACAAAATGTGCAAAATTTTCGTAAATGTCGCGAAATTCCGAAAATTCCGCGAAATTCCTGAAATTTCGCGAAACTTCGCGAACTTTCCGGAATTTCGCGAGATTCCGGAAAACGGCTAGAAAGGAGGTAAATAGGGCTGGAAAAACGCGATTTTCGCTTATTTTTCTTTATTTTTTCTTAATTTTTCTTATTTTCTTTAACTTTGACCGTGATGTGGGGTATAAAGTGGGCGGAGCTTGCTTGGAGGAGTTTCAGCAGTGTAAAAGCACTGGAAATGAGCTTATTATGGAGTTTTTCGAATTTTTCGTTTAGTTTTTCGCTAATTTTATCGATTTCCGAAATTTCGAAACCTCGAAACCACAACCTTCAATATCGATTTTATCGATTTTGTCGATTTTTGGGATATCGACTTTTGTCAATTTTAGGGATTTCGAAACCTTCAGAATATTGATTTTATCGATTTTTGTCAATTTGCGAGATTTTACAACCTTCAGAATATCGATTTTGTCGATTTTCGGGATTTCGCAACCTTCAAAACATCGATTTTATCAACTTTGACGATTTTTGGGATATCGATTTTTGTCAGTTTTCGAGATTTCGAAACCTTCAGAATATCGATTCTATCAATTTCTGAGGATTTGGTGGTTTACTAGCCTTCAAGATATCGATTTTTCGCTTTTTAGCTGTGAACTGTAAGCCCCGCCAACTTACGATGTTACTACACAAAACCGCTCACAAAATGTGTAAAATTTCCGTGAATGTCGCAAAATTCTGAAAATTTTGCGAAATTCCTGGAATTTCGCGAAACTTCGCGAACTTTGCGGAATTTCGCGACAATCACGGAAATTTTGCACATTCTGTGAGCGGTACTGTAGACCATAGCAAGCTTATTCACAAGTTGGCAGAAGTTGTACGGGGTTTTCTTGTTTCCTTGCTAACTCGCACCTGCGCATGACAGTGCGTATTGGACATAAATGCTCAGATTGTTACTGTTGTAGTAGTGGGGTACCTCAAAGCGGTACTCTCCCACCGTTGCTTCTTTTTAGTTTTCGTTGCTATCTATCTAAAAACTCATTCATATGTGATCAAATGTTCGCGAGACGACACAACAAAGATTTTATTTAATGTTATGCCAGTGCTAGGTTTACACGGTGAAAATGTTTATCGGTCTCAGTTTTCGACAAGATTCAACTTTGATAAATTCGACATCGGGCGCCTACTCAGATGATCGCCGGGGCAGGCAGTCCGCAAACTCGCGCTTTTCTGCAGGCGGTCACCAGATTTTGGGGCGTGGCCAAACTTTTGGCGGGCGGTACTTCCTTTACTGTATATTTTGCCAGCGGGCAGCAGCACAGCATCTTCTGCGAGCGCTCGGCAAATTATTTCTTTCAGCGAGCGCTGGCCAGACGTTCAGCATGCGCTCGGACTCATTTAACGCAGTTTTGGGCGTACGCCGAGTAAAGATGAGACTCTATGTGGCAGAGCTGTCATCGATGGCTTGATTACCCAAGTTTGGGGTACCTGCTTTTAGCGGAGGGTACCTACGGGCTGTGCGGTCCTTCACAAAGGGATCGTGCGCCCCCAGTAATTTTGCATATTCTCGCGGGGTGTCCACGAGAATGCGGCCACTGCGCAGCAACTAATCTATGAGAAAACCGCAATTGTTCTCCGAGCAATCGACTAAAAATTGGCCAAAATTCTATTACCCTAATTTCACGCGTACAAGGCGCGGGGTGGTCCTAGCTTTCATCGATCAGCCCGAACACGGCAAAGGATTTCGCAACCAAAGGAACCCCATACCGTGCTGCGTTTTGCCTGACGAATCGTGCGGCATAAGGATCGCTTCTTAGTACACGTTGGGGCGGCTGAGTAGCTCGATGAAAGCTAGGACCACCCCGCGCCTTGTACGCGTGAAATTAGGATAAATTTCTGCAAGCGGGCCGCATTAAATCAGCGAACTATTTTTCTGGTGCCCGCTAGCCCAATAATCGCATGGCCGCCTACCCCCTGTGGTTACCCGAATAAAAGTACATTGCAGTGTTTTGTCTGAGGTGGGACCAAGCCTTCAAATACCTTTCCACGTTGTCGGGTACCGATTACGTTGATGAAAACGAACCTTTATTTACCGCTCAGGTAACCGCCGAAGCAGGCGGACCGCGATCGCGCTTTCTTTCAAGCGGTCAGCCAAATTTTGGCGTGGCCAGAACTCCAGCGAGCGGGACTTCCTTTACTGTTGAGCAGTACAGAATTTTGTGAAGGCCCTAATCAAATAATTTCTTTCAGCGAACGCTGGCCAAACCTCCAGCAAGCGCTCTGACTCTTGTAATGCATTTTCGGGAGTAAGCCGAGCAAGGGTAAGACTCTAATAGCAGAGATGTCACCGTTGGTTTAGTTATTCAAGTGAAAGATACCTACGGGCTGTCTAGTCCTTCACAAAGGACCGTGAGGCCGCCAACAACTTTGCATATCCCAGGAGAAGATTATGTAGCCACTGCAACGCAACTAATCTGTAAAAAATCTCTGCCCAAAACTCTTACGAAAACTGACCGCGAGAAATCAGCGGTCTATTTTTCCAGTGCCCGCTTGCCTATAAATCGCATGGTCGCCTATTTCCGGCGATTCTCTGGATGTTGATCAAAGTTAGAGATGAGGGGTACGTCAGTGCGCATTTGTGAAATTCAGAAATACTGCAAATTTCCCCACAAACTTCTGGTACGAAAGCTGTTTACATTTCATGTTTTACGAGTTTAGAATAGGCCGAATATAGATTTTGGTCACTTCAAAAATATTTTAGAAATTCTGAAAGGCAAGCCACAGAACTGCAAAAAATTGTTTCAGTTGGAGAAAGTTTGCTCTATGCTTTAAAGGAAAGAATGGAATTTCCAGCGATTATCTCTGAGCTTTATCAACGTACGCACTCAGATCATAGCTTCTGGAAGAACCAAAAAATTCTGCATCAGATAACGCTCAAAGTAGTTCTCTGTCTTCGTGTAGAGGATCTACGGATCATTTCAAAGAACTGACAAAATTTTGCATCAACCTAATTTACTCAATTTCAAGAGTATAACACTTTTTCGATTTTGAGCGAGCCGCTCAGTCGCCTTGCATATTGTAAGCGAAATCTATGCCGCACGTTACCCCCAAACCATATGCAGCACTAAATTTATATATAGTTCCTTGCTCGCGAAATCCCTCACCGTGTCTTGTTTATAGTTCTTATAAGTAAATCACTCCTTCCCTCCCCCGTCTTATACTCGTGAATTTAGGGTAGTACAATATTCTACACTATTTTTATATATAAAGGTAATTGTGTGTGTGTGCGTGTGCGTGTGTGTGCGTGTGTGTGCGTGTGTGTGTGTGTGTGTGCGTGTGCGTGCGTGTGCGTGTGTGTGCGTGTGTGTGCGTGTGCGTGTGTGCGTGTGTGCGTGTGTGTGTGTGTGTGTGTGTGTGTGTGTGTGTGTGTGTGTGTGTGTGTGTGTGTGTGTGTGTGTGTGTGTGTGTGTGTGTGTGTGTGTGTGTGTGTGTGTGTGTGTGTGTGTGTGTGTCCGTTACGAAATTCGTAGAACATGTTCCAGCCAACTTCCTGAGCTCAAATTTTGCACGGCGCACGCTAGCAGCAGGAAAGTCCAATATACAAAAGCGCGAGCAAATCCGTCGAGTGGATCCCTTAAAAACTGCGCGTCAAATGGGTCCACTTGGCTTCTGATCAGCAAAATTGGGCCCATAGCACCACTTTTTGCAATGTCATGGATATGCTGGACAAGTCAATGTGGAAGCAAAGGACCTTAGCTCAAGAAAGTAAACAAAATTTTATTGCTTTATAAAAATGGCGCCAGAAAGTATTGGGTGTGTAAACATTCAATTTGCCAAGATTTTACTTGATCATTTGTGAAGATTCTTGCACAGAGATGTGGTCCACGGTGATTATTACCGTTAAGGAGACTATCACGTCATAAAAGATCCGAAAACCAGTTCAAATTTGCATTTATTCTTCTGGAAAAAGTTTCATCCATGAGAAATTATCGATCTCACATGAAAAAACTATAGAAATGAGTAAATGTTTACGAATCATTCGTGATAGGCTGCATAGTACGGTGAGTTTCAATGTCATTATTGGGGGAATGAGTAAGGCACAGATACAGATAGTGGATACCAGTGCGAGCCTCTGCGAAGCAGAGGTGACGCAGGTATATACATATGCGTCAACGAAGGGCGAAAGAACATCTATTATGGTGATTGAAGTTTTGTGATAGTTAACTTCCGAATTTTGACAACGCTATGATTAAGCACAGACAATGCTACTTCTGTTTTTGTATAGCCAAACACTATGGAAAGATCATAAATTTGTATTAAATGTTTTCACTGGCCGTCGTGGCCTCTCCGT